TACAGGCGATTATAGGAAAGTCCTGCATAACTGTTGGATCCACTCTTAGAGGAGATCTGCTGTCAGTTATCAATTCCACTGGTGTTGTCGAAGCCTCCTGTGCTCATAGAAAATATATGTATATATGACGTCCAATAAATTAACCTTTGTATTTAATTGAGGATAATAAGAGTTGCAAGGACAGATATCGTGCTTATTAATGCTATTCAGATACAATTGTGATATATTCATACTATGACTGTTGGTATTGTATGTTATATCATGCAAAACAGAGTTCATCATTTTTATATCAGCGCTTTGAAATACAGAGAAAACGATACGGATAAATAGTACAGATGTTGTTACTGCTTCTCTACAAACAGAGCTATGAAGCCTTGTCAGAATTGGAGAAGATTAATACTGCGGTGCTAATTTATCTGTTTCTTCATGTAAACAGATCTAAATAGCGCCCATTAGGTCGCGGCATCCCCATAGTTCATACGGAACCGAGAGATCTGTTAGTTATATTTATAATATATGCCGATTATAATGTTATTTCGGTGAATTCATTTTTTATATTTCAATTTTTAGATAACCGTCTTGTACTAAAGTTGTTTGCAGTGCGAATAAACATGCCTTTTTAATAAAATTATATCTAGGACTATGATATATCATACTCTATAGCAGGATTCTGGAAACATTATTCGACTGATTCATTATGTGTCAAATCACAAAGCTATCAGTAATTTATTGCTACTACTTGGAAGAACGAACCAGATAATTAGCCGCGAGATAGCTGTTACCATCCTTATTATTAACCTGCAAGAAGATGTGTCCCCAATCTGTGATAAGAATTTTTTAAATGTTTTTTATTTGTTGTGACTTTGCGATATTTACTTGGGATATCAATTTCTATGCGCATGGAGGAAGACTTCTATGAAAATTAGAAAGAAATTTAGTGGAAGAATGCACCCCCTCTAAGGAAAGAAATGGGCGTCTTCTTGGTTCAGATAATAATATAAGAGATAATCAGAGGCTTGAAAGACTCTTATGGTGTATGGTTGTTTTACCAAAATGAACTCCTCACTATAATGATAGTATATGAGCAGGCATAGCCCGATTTTGTATAATTTCTCCAGCACTTGTTAATTATTTTGTTTTTAAAATATTATCGTTAACATTATATGAGGGCAACTGTTGCT